GCCCCCCACCTGCAAACGGCAGCCTCCGACTCTGCCCCTCGCCCTTGGATTTAGCGGCTCAGCTTCTCCTCCTCCGTACGCAGCCAGATAACCAAGAAATGCACCCAAATCCCCCTAAACCACCGTTTTCCCCACTCATCAGTGAGTTTAAACCTGGCTTTGCTGAGCTGGAGCGACTCAGTCCAACGGTGCTCGCTTGCGCCCCCCTCCACCAGACCCGACACCCCAAAACCACCGCATTTCTCCTATATCGAACCTCCCAAAATGCTGAAACTTTGGATGCCCCCAGCCACGGCTCCTCCCCGCACCCTAAATCCTACCCCGACCCTCTCGCACCCAGCCGGGACCGACGCCGACACAAAAAACCCGGGGCGCAGCGGCCAAAAGCGGGCGCCGTGCCCGAGGTTTTCGCGTTGGAAATCCCGCTCCGGACCGGGCTCTTCCGCCTGTGGGAAGCAGCGAGGCGAGGGCAGGACCCAGCAGCCGCCCTTGACAGGCGGGGTTTGTCGCAGCCTTTCCTTATATGTCCCCAATTTTGGGGTGTTCGCCCGCCCCACGGCATGGCCGGGCGCCCCGCTGCCTCCAGGCTGTGGCTCTCGGGGCTGTGCTTCCTCCTCCAACTCCTCACCGTCGTCCTCTTCGCTACATTCGTGCGGTACAGCCCCGAGAGCAGCCCCCAGCTCTGCTCCCAGCAGCTGAACTGCAGCCGCAGGAAGGCGGACGCGGGTTTTCGGCACCCCCGTGAGTACCCCCCAGCCCGGGTGGGTGCAGAGGGTGGCTCTACCTGGTCCTCAGGTGATGCTGAGAGGGTGGAAGGGGAAGTCACCGTGCTGGGTCCATGCTGCAGATCTGTCACAGCATCCAGCTCCGGATCGGACTCTGAAATGAAACAGGAAGGGGAATATCGAGCCTAAGGGCTGGACACATCCCTCTGAGGAGGGGGAAAGTGTTTGGACAAAATCGGGCTCAAATCGGGGAAATTTGGGTCTAGGGCACGCATTTTGGCAGAAGGGATCAGTCAGTGTGGTGATACACCCAAGACTGTCCTCCCAACCCGGCAGGGGGGAAGCCTGGCAGCTCCTCTTGGCACCTTGGGGTCTCTGAATACC